CTTCACTCGGACGCGCGCTTCAATCTATCGCCGTTGCGGAGACTATTCATTCCGGTGAAATCACAAAATAAAATGCACACAAACGTGTCCCTATATATAGATACAGCTATATCTAGGAGCTAAAGTTCAATCTTTAAAAGCACTCCATCTTGTTAAACTGTTTACTTTAATGAAGATAAAGAAATACAGCAGCCTATGTCTTCCAGACTATTTATCGTCTTAGGTTGTTAGAGTTTGTTTGATTTATTTAATTTGCTACAGTTACTGCAAACACACTTTATATTATTTAACTGTTTACTTTTGAAGAAAATACTTGAAGTACAGAATTTCTACCAGACCAGTTGTCTGACATTGGGAGTTTGATTTATTTAATTAAGAATTTGTAGTTTAAAAGTTTACTTTTGTTGTGAACAAAACACTTGGAAGTACAGGTTGTTAACTTGACCAGTTGTCTCAGGTTGAGAGAGTTTGATTTAATTCGCTATAAATGCACTTTATATGGTGTAACTGTTTACTTTTCTTACAAAGATAATACTTGAGGTGCAGGATAAACCTGCGATGTTCCTTTTCAGTCAGTGACGTTTGACGCCACGTCGGACTGAATCGGGAATCTCGCTAGTAGAGAGACCAATCTACTTCGAGTGTAATTAAACAAGCCAATACACATTATACACATATGTGACCTTGGACCACATCACATGGGGTCAATCTTTTGAAATTGAGATTTAAACATCACATGAAAGCTGGATAAATAAGCTTTCCATTGATGTGTGGTTTGTTAGGATAGGGCAACATTTGGCCGAGATACAACTATTTGAAAATCTGGAATTTGAGGGTGCAAAAAAATCAAAACATTGAGAAAATCGCCTTTAAAGTTGTCCATTTATATTCGCGAATGTGCTGCATTCACTCACAAAAAACGAACGGTTCTACTTTTTCTACTCTGCAATCTACATTGAGAGAGTGTTCTTCGAGCCTCCTGTTCTTTTTGGAAAGCCTCTGCATTTGGTGTTGGTGTGACGATGCTTCAGCGGTGGTCGTGGTTGTCGTGCAGCAGCTATTTCCCCTGTGTGTTGCAGCACCTGAGAGAGCTAATTTTCCTAAAACAGCTTACACAGGTGTGACATTGCGTCTTTTTAAAGATGTCAATCCCCCCGTGTGTTTATGGATGCGGTCGTTACCTGACGCTGGCTGGTGGTCTCGATCGTTGCCTCAAGTGCCTTAAACCACGCTAAGGTGAGGTGTGTTCGGTCAGTGTTGAACTGCTTGAATTCGTTCAAAAGCAGGACAGCGGCCCCACTGAAGTTATTTCAGAGGCTCCTGGGGCATATGGCAGCCGCAAATGCAGTGATGCCGCTCGGCTTGCTTCATATGAGGCCGCTTCCCGAGATGGGCGAGTGCCCCTAGAACAAGTGTCCAGGCATGATATTGTCTCCACGGATGCCTCTACCACCGGCTGGGGAGCCACGTATTGGCACATCATCTGCCTCTAGTTGCTAGCACTACATCTTCCACTGGGCCTCGGAAAAGGGCCGCTACAGGGCAAACAATGTGGCCATTGCGTACATCAACCGACAAGGTGGTCTACACTCCCGTCACATGTCGCAACTCACCCGCCATCTCCTCCTTTGGAGTCAGAAACATCTGAGGTCGCTTCATGCCATTCACATCCCAGGCGTGCTCAATCGTGCAACAGAAGAGCTCTCACGACAACCTGCGCTTCCAGGAGAATGCAGAATGCATCTGGAGACGCTTCGGAAACATCTCATTGCCAGCTGTTTTACTCCCTGACTGAGGGGACACTCGGATGCACTGGCACACAGCTGGGCCCGGGGCCTACGCAAGTATATGTCTCCCCTAGTGAGTCTTCTCGCACAGACACTGGCCCAACAGGACCTGGTTCCCAGAACTAGTACTCCTCGGGTCAGCCCCTCCCTGGCGCATTCCTCTGAGGCAGGATCTGCTTTCTCAGAGACGGGGCACCTGCATCTGGAATCTCCATGTCTGGTCTCTGGACGGGACGCGGGGGTTCTAGGTGACTAACCCCAGGAGGTAGTGAACTCCATCACTTTGGCGTGAGCACCATCTACGAGACACACTTACGCCTTGAAGTGGAACCTGTTTTTCGAGTGGTGTTCTTCTCACCGAGAAGACCCCCGGACTTGCCCGAAAAACACAGAGAGGCCCCGGCTTAGTGTCGGCTTGTTGCGCCAATACATGCGCTTATATTGCTCCAGTAGAGTTCCCTGATGGTCAAACCCTGTGAGTTCCTCCATCACCCGCGGCAGCCGGACATAAATATATATATATATACATATATATATATATATATATGTGTGTGTGTGTGTTTATAATGTACACTTTTATAACACTATACATGGTTTTTGTAAAGATTGGTTTATAATACAACTTACTGTACATCTTTCTCTCTTCTGTCTGCCGCAATCCATTTTTCTGTACCTTTTCTGTTTTGGAAATGCAGACATAGAAAATAATACTTCCTTCCCTAGTGTCTGTAGAAGTGAAATCAGCTGTAATTTACTTCAGCGTTCCAAACACAGAAATGGGAAAAACTGTGAAGATTTTCTGAGTAATCATAAATTTGGACCTCTTCTTCACACTAAACAATTTCTTGACTTCAGAATAACTTCATAACAGAGCCTAAAATGTATGGACTATTTTAATGGTGTGTTTTTCAATATTTTGAACATTTAAAAGCTGTAATAAATATCAAAATACCTAATTTCAAACAACATATGGGCTACATATTTGATAAAAGATGATAAAACATGCTTTGAGAGCATCAACTTGGCCGAGACGAAACAAAATTACAATGTTAAAAAACAGTGTTGGTGTTTTTATTGCACTGGAGCTCGTACATAGTTATCCCCCTGAAATGCTCTGATACCGTAATTTTTTGGGCATTAATATCCCAAAGCACAGACTCCTCCTCAAAGTCAGCATTTGTCCATGTGAGAACATGTGACTCGAATCAGAGCTCCAGTCTGAGGTACATCATTTCCTGTAGAGTGACTGACAGGAAGAAGCTGCTCAGTACAGATAGAGAACTGCAATGGTGAACAACAGCGGAGAAACATTAACATTTTAGACATGACTGTGAACATTGAATAAATACATTATGTATATACTGCATATATATATACAGTATACACACACACACACACACACACACATATATATATATATATTCCCCCAATTGTTTTAGATTCATTTAAAAAAATTATCTGTAAAGTAATTTCCCAAATATGTTTATGTAGAGTGCACACTGCAGCTAATTTACTTACAAAGAGTTGCCTGTATTAAATAACTTAATAAATAGAGAGGTTTAGTTTGTGTGCACAGAAGTTTTGTGCATCTCCTTGGTATGCAAACTTTTGCATGATTATGCAGAGTGTGGTTTGAGTATTTTTCCAACCACAGGACTGACCCAATGTGTTTTCACACCTTTATCTGAATCAAAACCACGCGCACATCATTCACAGGCGGTTAATTACTTCACCTAACACTGGTAGAGAGAAAAAAAAGCCTATCCATGCTTGTGACAAAAACATATATAAATAGTAACAGCTTATCCTGACACTATAAACAATTAACACTATTACAGTACATATACACATACATACAATATATACTATTATAAATTCATTTAAATGTGTATATATACTATTAAAAATTAAGTTCAATCTAAATAAATTATGTTTGTTTCTGCAGCTGAATGTAGTTAAGCTTATTAAAAAAAAAAAAGTATAATGAAAATTGAAGCAATAAAATAATCAACATGACATCATGACTTTGCGTAAACATACACGCCACTTTCAATTCAAGTGGCGTGTTATCTATACGCATTTTGAGCTATCCGCGTGTATGTCCACGCCGAAATCTTTTGCGTGTATGTCTACGCCATTAAACGTCCGAGTGATTCCGCGTGTATGTGTACGCCGTTAAATGTCCGAGCGAAACGAAGCAAAATCTATATTCTACATCTGTGGAGCGATATTTCTTTTCCTAGGATGGTAGGAGAAGACTCATAAATGGTATTAACCCCAGTGACGGGTAGGTTTAGGGACGGGGTTGGGGTAGGTCATATATTTATATGTACATAATACAGTAATATAACGTTAAGTCAAAGGCGTTGATAAACACGCTGAAAAGCGATTATGCGTGTTGATAGCACGCCAAAAATGGAAATACGAATTGGCGTGTCATACATACGCCATTTCATGAGATCAGTCTGAAATAATTGATTAATGGAAATTTTCATTGAACTTATTTTTTTTTTTTTTTGCTGTGGTCAAATAGGACACACTTGTGTCCAGAAAGAGACAGAAACAATCCCTAAACCGAATAGTTCGCCCAGGATTTTAACTTTTAACTTTTCTGAATATCTACAGTCTAATGCACTGAAGGCCTCAAACAGCTTTTTTTTTCCTGGTCTCATGGTGGAGGTTTTGTCCGCTAGAGGGTAATCTTGAGTCATTTATCAAACATATTGGGCAGCATCAAGTTTTTTCAGGTATGCAGACTAATGCTATCCAATTCCTAGATATGATTGATTAAAGTTATCTCAAATTACCTACTAATTTAGTCTAACTAACGTATTAAAACGAGAGTCAGCATGGGTAAAATAGACACACTTGTCACATATAATTTAAGTACCACGGACAGGGAATTACGCTTTTTTACTGTTTCTCAACTTCAGACTTTTTCAACACCAGTCGATCTAAAATTGATGCCCCACTAATCAATATGCTGTATGTTAGCATGTGTTGGTCAAAAATAGTGAAACATGTTGATGCAGACATCCACAGAACTGGCTTCCGTGAAGGTTTCTTTAAACAGTTCATTTAATTTGACAGATCATTTTAGATAAAACTTAGGCATAGAATAATGTTTAAAGCTTGAGTGTAGGCTAATTAAGAGCTTAAAATATCTATTGGTTTAATCAATTAAAGCACATCAAGAGTCACATTAAGAATAGTTTTTTTTTAAATAGAAAATTTATTTTTTAGTAAATTGTATTGATTCCTTGCATGTACACATATTGAATTATCTGATGTGTTTTCCCCTGGGTCTTCTTGAAGTGGAGGGCTTTTGTTGAAAGCTCAACGCAGCATAATTCAAAGCATCTCTGTCTTCATCCTAGAACAGCCATTTTGATTCATTCAGTCAAATAAATTCCATGTGAAGATATTTAAATGTAATTATATGGTATAAAAGCACATGAAATATTAAACTGCTTACCATTAAGTGACTATTCTGAATGTTCTGAGTCCCATCTTGAAATGCAATAAGAAGTGGAACACATGACTGCACGGCCATTTAAAGATGTTGATTTGACTGTTCAGACTTAGATATTAGAGAAGTGTTATGCAGTAATTCTTACCTTTTCGTCGATGCTTGTACAACTGTGCACCCAGAATTATGATCACAATCACCGATAAACAGTTCGAAGCTGCTAGAACTAGGGCAATTGTACTCCATGGTGTATCTGCAGATATGAAAAATAAATTCTTTTTAAAAGATATTAAGTGATGCAACAACACCATGAGATTTAGATTTTCTGTAGCAAATTCAGTGGATACCTGGCCCTGGTGAATCAACTTTTCTTCCTTCTCCAAACAGTATCTCTCCACATGCGGCCACAGCGCAGTAATAAATCCCAGCATCAGAGTCACTGAGGTTCTTCTTGGGCAGGTTGTAGACACATCTGTGTGTGGTTGAGTTCCCATCAGATGATCTCCTCTCACACTGAGCGTTCCTGCGTTCCTGAGTGTAAATGATTCCTGGAGGAGATTCTCCAGATTGATGTCTGAACCAGTAGACGTTGTGTTCTCCTGCACAGCTCTGAGTGACGACGGCACACTGCAGAGCCGCTGCAGACTCTTCTGGAGGATCTGGATCTGTCTCAGGTCTCTGATGCTCTGAGTCCATGCTCAGCTGTCCGTCTGAAAAGAAACAACAATAACATAATGCTTGTTTGACCAGACACAATGTACTGTATGTATCTCAGTCAGATTTAAGTGAATATTCTGCTTACTTTTAACAATGAGATCAGTGCTCTCCCCCAACTGGAAATTATAAACATATACAACACAATAGTATGTTCCAGTGTCTGATTCTTCTGTGTCTGTGATGCTCAGATTAAAACTGCTCTCGCCTTTTGTTACAAAAAAGCGTTCATTTTTGTCAAAGCCATTTCCAAAGACGGCAGGTAAAGCTTGATATGATGAAACAATTAGAAGGGGGTTCTCTCCGACTCTTCGTTTGACCCAAGCAACACTGTTTCTTGACTCTCTTGGAAAATTACAGGGGAAGTTAACTCTGTCTCCAGCTTGAACAATCTTCAGATGATTCTGAGCCACGACGGCATTATCTGAGCTGCCTAGAAAAATTCAATATGAAATGTCATGGCCGAGAAGAGGGTTAACATTGTTTGCTGTAGATTTGTTTCATTATGCATTATACTTACATGTTGAAAGGTAAAGCAATAAGATGAAAAAATGATGAATCATTTTTAGGAGATAGTTCCAAACAGACTGATTTAGAACCTGTAAAGTGAATCATCTAGGAAAATAACAATAATAATAAAAATTATAAAGAAAACAATGGTTAAGTTATGCATTTCAAGTTGGAAATTTAAACCTCAAATGGATAAATAGAGGAGAACATGATTATTTGTTTTGAATAAAATCACCTAATTTAGATGTTATTAAATTGTTAGGGTACCTGAATAGACAGTTGAACATTGTGTGGATCAGAAATATTTTTTTAAACATACATTTCAATGCAAGACCACATGTTGTTTATGCATATAGATGGTTCAAAAAACTGAAAATAAATCAATCCAGAATCAATCAGTCAGTCCAATTTGATTCATAGAGTATAGCATATTATTTTCCAAATCAATGTTCAACATGCTTGACAGACAGGAACAAGCAATTGACAATAAAAATAAACCAATTGAAAAAGTTATTAACAAAACTCCATAAAGTAAGAATAATAAAAACAAAAGAGGTTCTGTTTTTAGTCTCAACTTACAGACTTCATTAAAGATCATATTGGTTTTCATGTAGAGCCGATGACATCTTCCCCCTTAACAAAGTCCGAAAGAGAAGACAGAGAGAGATTCACCTTTATATACTGTACCTCCCTGTAGGCTACTAAAGAAAAAACACATATGTACATGACTGTACATGATTCTATTGGCTGATTCACCTTAATGTTATGGTGTGCTCATGGTAACCACATCTATAGTTTTCCACGATTGACACATTTAATATGTAATATGAATGTTATCTACTATAAATGTTTATAGACACAAATGAACATATTAACACATCAAAGTAGTTACAGTATGTTTATTTAAATGTGCAGCATGGCATCAATTGTCACTCCATGATATTGGAAAGGGATGTTTGTTTGTTGCTTTTCAGCAGAAAAGGCTGTATCTGTAGCATTGACAAATACTGAATTTCTGCAAGGTTTCATATGGAAACTTTTTTTTCTTTCAACAGTTAGTGTGACAACATCTGAAGTTTGCGTTTTCTTACTTCCTGCTTTCACACATTGACCACAGCTGAAGGATCCTGCTCCACTTTTGTGCAACAACAGCAATTCATGACCAGAACTATAAGACCAGAACCAGTGCAATATTTGACCTTTCAACCCCTGAAATGTTTTGTGTGTGCCTGCTTATTTTTAGCAGCAAAATATCACGCTAAGAATTATATTTAATCAAACCTAAAGAAGAATTTTAGGCCATGTGGCCACGATGTAACTTTTTTTGTTAAAAATTAACAAAATTGAATGTTTTTATGAGCAGTGGATAGCCATATTCATCCACACGATGTTGTTCTGCAAAATGCATGCAGTTTTGTTTTTGACCGCTAGAGTGCCAAAATATACATAGTATACCTTTAATTAGGAACCAAATAATCAGATAAAATCGAACATTTGGATAAAATAAATAAAATAAATGCAACATTATTCATTTTTGGCATTATTATCCTGCCTTTCAATTAATTATTAATTGTTAATGTTATTTATTATCACTCACATTTATATATGTACTAAAGCAAAATAAAATAAACAAATACAATAAAATGTCAACGCTATTAAAAAACCCTGTCATTTTGGCAATTGTTGACCTTCCTCTATAATTAGAAAAAAAAAAAAAAAAAACGGAAAAAACAACAATGCATGTAATGGAAAAAAAGATCGTCTAAGAAAGGTGTTTGTGGGCTGTGAAGGAGTGTGGGCGGTAAGGTACGAGCAGGGTCTCCAGGCCTGCGGTTGGAAAAGTACTAAAAATATCCAGGTCACATGAACGTCCTGATAAATAAACCATATCAATTTATTCATTCATCCATGTATTGAAACCTCTGCTGATGTTGTGCAGTAATTAATCCGCCTTTTGTAAGCAATTAAATTATTTGTATTGTGAAATAGTATAATTTATTCCTGTGATCCAAGGCATCATTAGTGAACGCAAACAAACATTTTATATCATTCTAAAGTGATTTGTTTGAGTGAAGCACTGTATTGTATTGTTGTTGTTATATTTAATGAAGTTTACCTCAGAAAGTCTAAAAGTATGTTTATTTCATCCTTTCATTACAGTGTATACTGAAGTCCTTCAAAGTGAAAAGGAAAGGGAGAATTTCTTCTTTTAGGATATAAGAAACAAAAAACATTCAGAGTTAGAATCCTTCGGGCTGGTCATCCTTCTGCTGATTACACAGTAACCTATCTTTTAATACATTTCTCCACCAGAAGGAGCTCGTGTGCACGTCTTGTCAATCACACCATATCTGTCTTCCTGTATTATTGCATATACATATTTCACTTTCAAAGGCTTATAAGTGCTTGAATACTTGTAACAAGTACCATCATGTACCATCTGAGATTTGCTGCTACCTATAAAAGTGCATATTATTAATTCAGGCAAATGGGACACATATTGTAGTCAAGTACTAAAATACAGCAACATTATCACAATTTTAATAGTTCTAATATGAATGATTCCAATACAAAGACATAAATTGCCTTAACATTATTTACTGTTAACTGCATATTAACCATTACCTGCACATAGACAATAACCTCTGTCCTCATCATTGTTTGTTTGCAGGTAAAAAGACTGTTACAATATATAGTAATTATAGTATTCTATATATGTCTAATATAATTATAGTATTATATTAGACAATTATAAAACACACAATTACTATACTTCAGATATCTACCGTGTGCAAAATAAAAAAGAGCTTGTTTTGACTCATGATCTACATGGACGTGTCAAAGGTCAAGATGAACTATCAGTACAATATGTTACTGAATTTAAAATTATATTGCACAAGGAAAATGTACGTGCTCTAGAAGAAATATTAAAAGTTTATTAATGGGCTTTGTCATATCGTTGTTAAAAATCATGTCTTCAATTTCTGGATAGATTCAGTGTCTAATGAAATCATGCTACCTTCTTTACAAAAGCAATATGACTCAAGAATGTTATTTCAGAACCACGGACAGGGATTTAACACAATTTCAGCACGTTTTGTATAGCTGTGATGTGCTCTAATTCAGTGGAGAAATTAAGGTCCCACTTTATATTAAGTGTCTTTATGTACTAACATAAAAATGTATAATTTGATACAATGTACTTATTGTGTACATACCTGTTTTTACATTGTATTTATAAAATACCTGCATGTAATTAGCTGCTTCTGTAATTGCATGTATAATCACACTGTTGACCCTTCCCTTACACCTCAACTCACCCTTAAACCAACCCATAAACCACCAAACCTGTCCCTAACCTTACCCGTATCCACCTTACAGTAATATCAGCAAAAGTGTTTTGCCACAATATGAATTCAATAAGTGCATTGTACTAATTACTTCATGTTAGTACACAGTAAAGACACCTAATGTAAAGTGTGACCGAAATAATTTAACAGAAAGTCAACCAGTCTCACTCACTCATGTCTTTAGTAATTTATCAAGTACATTATTTGATGCACATTCAAATGATAAATTCATAAATGTACAGGACAATGATTAAGGTTAACTTATTTGATAGTTTAATTAAACACTTTAAACAATTTAATTAACACAGCATTTTTGGTTTTGGTCTTGGTATCTAACATTGGAAAATTAACATTTTTAGAGCTTCTAAATAGAAACCTCTGAATACTGTGTAAGAAAAACGTCCTCATTGTTATCTTACATGTGTATATATTGAATTATCTTGTGAGTTACTTTCCCTGGGTCTTCTAGAGGCGGAGGGATTTTGTTGAAAGCTCAAAGCTGCATAATTCAAAGCATCTGCGTCGTCAGCCTGGCATAGAACATTAAGTATGAATCATTCAGTCAAATATATTGCCTTAAAACATACAGTTTAGTGTAATCTATAAATTTGTAGCAGTGATTAAACTCATTGTCAAGATGTTTGTATTCCATAAAATAAAGTATTTCGATTGCTTACCATCAACTGACCATGCTGAGTGTAGTGCATCCTATCTTGAAGGAAGGAACAATGAAAAATTTTACATAATTACAACTGAACTGACATTTAAACCTGTTTTAAAACATAAAATAATGCATACCTTTTTGCTGGTGCTTGTACAACCGTGCAGCCATAATAATAATCATGATCACAGATACAATTATTATAATCAAAGCGGCTGTTGTCCAATGTGTCTGAAAGCATTTGTCTGTAGTAATAATAATAATAAAAAAGAAATTAAACATGAAATGAAAACATATCAACAAGACATCACATGATATTATTTTTTAGTTAAAACAATGGGCACCTGGCAAACCAACTTTTCTTCCTTCTCCAAACAGTATCTCTCCACATGCGGCCACAGCGCAGTAATAAATCCCAGCATCAGAGTCACTGAGGTTCTTCTTGGGCAGGTTGTAGACACATCTGTGTGTGGTTGAGTTCCCATCAGATCTCCTCTCACACTGAGCGTTCCTGCGTTCCTGAGTGTAAATGATTCCTGGAGGAGATTCTCCAGATTGATGTCTGAACCAGTAGACGTTGTGTTCTCCTGCACAGCTCTGAGTGACGACGGCACACTGCAGAGCCGCTGCAGACTCTTCTGGAGGATCTGGATCTGTCTCAGGTCTCTGATGCTCTGAGTCCATGCTCAGCTGTCCATCTGAAAAGACAAATGAAGAAATGAAGTGCAGTTTTTATTTATTTAATTAAACACAATGCACAGCATGTAACAGTTTGTGATTGTTCATCTTACCTTTAACAATGAGATCAGTTCCTTCACCAAATAGGACCGTAAATGCATATACAACACAATAGTATGTTCCAGTGTCTGATTCTTCTGTGTCTGTGATGCTCAGATTAAAACTGCTCTCGTCTTTTGCTACATAAAAGCGTTTATGTTTGTCAAATTCATTTTCATATTTGAAAGGTAAAGCTTGATATGATGAAGCGATCAGAAGGGGTTTCTCTCCAACTCTTTGTCTGACCCAAACCATGCTGGATCTTAAATTGTTTGGTAAAATACAGGTGAAGTTAACACTGTCTCCAGCTTGAACAATCTTTAGATGATTCCGAGCCACGACGTCTGTGTTATCCGAGCTGCCTGAATATCAGTACGAGAACGAAAGGGAGAAAAGATACTTAGTATTGTTTGCTGTGGATTTTCTTCTAAGAATATTCATTAAGCACATTAAAAACAAAAATTAATTTTGTCTAAGTTCAACAAAAATACATAGTTACTTACACTGAGGAATATTAAGCATTAGGATGAAAAAATGAAGCATTTTGAAGAATTGGCTGCAGACGGGTTGAGGTGGCAATCTATAGCTTGAGAAACAGAGAGGGAGAACATTTTCTTATGTGTGTTTATAATAATGATAACAACAGAAATGCTATTAAACCCAAGACAACACATTTCAGGAAATTGTTACTAAACTTCAGAGCATCAATTTTAGCAGCTCCATCAGTGTGACTAGCTTGACCTACAAAAAATCATGCTAAAAAAATTAGTCTACAAAGCTGGTTCACAAAAAAACATAAAACATGAATAAATAAACAAACAAAACAAACTTACCTCATACAGATTTCATTAATGATCACAGGTTTGTGTCATGGAAATCATCAGACAAGTTTTATGTCCCTCGTTGATAGTGAGACTGAAAGAGAAAACACATAGAGGTCTGCCTTTATATACACTTCCCTATACTAAAGATTGGCATCTTTACATGATTCTACAAAAACACACACAGACACACACACAAACACACACACACACACACACATTCACACACGCACGCACTCACACACACACACACACACACACACACACACAAATACATACACATGTATATAAATAAATAAAGTAGTCAAGCTGATGGCCATATTTAATAGAATTTTTCACTGAAGACAAAAAAAACCCAAATACAATCAGTTTTCTTTAATTGTAATGCTAAATAAATATTGAAACGGTAAACATCTAGTCAAAAATCTATTGATAGATTTTTAAAGCCTCTTTTTCTAATATCTATTCAATCCTGTCATCGCCTGACACATTCATTTAATATTTCTGTGGTAAATACTGATATGCGATTGATTGACAGTCGTACTTTACATTTATCATCACTTAAAAGCAAATAATGCTGAATAAACTTTGTCATAGAACCTAAAGGTCAAGCCTTTGAGCTGCAACTTCCTGTGTAGTGCTTGAAACGTGAAAAGAAAATGAACAACACTTATGTGATGGAAAGAGTTAATAAGGTCTCAAAATATGGAGCAAAAGCAGAGTGGCCAGTCCTGTGGTTGGAAAGTGTTTTTAAACAGTGTATGTTGTTCAGAAGATCACCACCGCTGACAGGCTGCTGAGCATGCTCAGTACGATTAAAAATAGTAGGGAAGTTGACATATTTAAACAAAGAGAAAATTACTATAAAGAAAATTTATAGTCACATTTCTGAAAAATGCATGTCTATTTTCTGATACAACAGACAGATCAAGTCAATTGCATAAAGGTAAATTTCAAAATTGCTATTCTTTAATTAGAAATACACAGAGCATTGGAACCCCAGAAATTATATACAATACATAAGGGTTTGAAGATACAGCTATTGCACCACATCAGAGATCTTTGCTAACTAATTGAACTTTTGATCTGAAATCAAGAGGTTGTTTCAGCCACATGTTTACCACAAAATGACACAACATCAAAATTGATAAAAGCATAATAAAGGTATAAAAGACTGCGGGCTTTAGGCAAGTACTACCACAAATCACATCATTTGTCCATATAAGGAGAAGATGTGATCTTAAACAGAGCTCTAGTTAAGAGGTCACAGTGTACGACATCATTTCCTGTAGTGACTGACAGGAAGAAGCTGCTCAGTACAGACTGAGAGCCGCTGAGATGAACAACAGCGGACAACATTTAACTTTTAGCACTGACATAATAAAACCGTTTTAAGATTTGTAAAAATTATTATTATTATTTTTTTTTTTACTGCAGTATAAAAGGAAAAAAATCCCAAATACATTATACAGGACATGTTTACCCAATCCACTTGTGGTAAGTGTAAGTATATATGCACACACACACAATATATACGGTCACTGTGACTTTGCCATGTAAGACATTTTCCTGGTTCAACATATTTGGTTGATCCTGGAATTACATTCCTGTCTGAAAATGTGGTCCTACCCCTACCCATAAGTAACCCATAAAAAATCATATGGATATGGCAGCTGAATAACACTGATGTAGAAACACCTAACCCTGGTTGTAAGCCTAAACTCTCCCTAACATCTGATTGGTTGATTGGAATGTTCAAGGATCAAAGATGCTGATCCAGGAACTTGTACTCGGTGAAATCACGTTTCACTCAATACACAGGCTATATACAATGACATAAGTGCATCTGTTTGCACCTGTGCATTTTGCAAGCATGATTTGCACACATCCCAGTCTGATAATTTTCCAAATGCAGGACTGATCCCACTGGTGTGTCTTCACACCTCTCCCTGAAACCACACATGCACCATTCTCAGAAAAAAATTACTTGCCTCCATTATCGGAGTTAAAAATAACCCTTCCATTGTACAGTACATTTTTGTCACAACTTATTCAACTTAAGGGTTCTTTGAATCATGGTCATAGATGTAACCCCATAGGTAAAGATGAATAATTAGGGTAAGCAAATATTGCAACAATGCTTATCAGGGCTCAGCTATACAGGAGGGTCTTGCCCACCCTGGCAACCATTCCTCATAACTGTTCAGCCTAGAGTCCTTAGCTCCACTTTACACCTTGGAGCTTGAGCCAAGCCTTGAGAACACGTAGTGCTCTTACACGGAAACAGCCTTCAGATATACATAATGCAACTGGCCAAGTTGTAGACTAAATTTGATTTAGAGATATGCTTAAAAACGTACTACATCAATAATTGAGAAGTTTGTTCTTCATTTACATAAACCCGAAAGCATGTGAATTCAGATGCAGCTGACTGCAAAACTGGTTGCCCTTGAGCAAAGAGTCCCGTAGCATTTTAGAGATATGCTGGACCAACATAATAGGCAAGGCAAGTTTATTTATATAGCACATTTCATACACAATGGTAATTCAAAGTGCTTTAAACCAATAATAGAATTAGAGGCGTTTGAGTGTATCTTTGTACATGCAGATCAGCAAATCCGAACTCTAGCTTGCACATAGGGATAAACCAATTTATCAGCTAGGCCTTTAAGTTAGCCAATACTTGCCTATTTTGAGATTATTGGGTATTTAGAAATAGTAGAACACCCTAAATGGGTTTAATTGGCAGCTTATGTGACATTATTTAGGACTGTGTTTCTTGTGTCATTCATCAATGTCATCACAGGTACAAGTGTATGTAAAGAGACTCCATTAAAGGAAATTGGTTCTGCCCCGTCTCTTAAAACAGCCTGCAGTCAAACATCAGAGTGTCAGTCTTTGTTCTTTGAACTGCTGTGCATAAAAGAGGAAGCAGTCTGAATAACCAGGACCCTTCAGTTCTCTTAAGTACAATATTTGAACTATATATGATATCTGAATTTACTGACTTTTTCTGTGAACTGCAATCACTGATAGTGGATTATAATATTAATTCTAAGACATCTTTCTTTTAAGGTTGTAAGTAAACCCTTTGAACTTTCAAGAGCTTTATCAAGTTATTCATAGCATATTATTTTTTTTATTATTTTGACATATTGTATTTTTATTACCAACATTTCTGAGCTATTTTATCTTATTAAAGTAGTAATATTCGGATGTTAGTTGGGTCAGTGTTTCAATTGTTAGTGATCTAAAAGTAGTTAATTTTGTTCTATTTAAACATATTTGCACATTTGTACATTTGCATGTTCCAGACTTCTGTTGACGTGTTTATTTCTCTTTTAGAACAAGTACAGGCGCTGCAAAAATGAAGTTCTGGGTTTCATGTACCCTCTTTCTCCTCACATTTGCAAGTATGTTTAAATTGTATTTTAATTGAGCATTTTGTTTTACATTTTTGTTTGTTACCATATTGCTTGTTTGTTTTATAGATAGGACAAGTGAAGGAGAGGATTTTATTCACCAAATCCCTTTGCTATTTGCCAAACTTGGAAGCAGTGTGATTTTACCCTGCTCTCACTCAGATGACTTTATAAATTATATTTCATGGTATAAACATTCTTTTGGCAAGAAACCACTTCTTGTGGCATATTCAGAACATGGATCAGGAAGCGTTACATATCAAAATGGCTTTGACAAGACAAATCGATACTTTATCAGAATTGGAAGTGGCTCTTTTAATTTGAGCATCATTCACGTGGAGGAATATGATTTTGCAAACTACTATTGTGCTGTGAGTTTCTTGAACATTATTAAATTCGGAGAAGGAACAATTCTGCTACCTAAAGGTGAGTTAATGACAATATTCGACTGCACATAAATGAGTATTGTTTTAATGTATTTACAGAATGTTGCATTTCTTTCAGAAAGGGACAGAATAAGAAGCACCACTGTTCTCCAGGAGCCTGTGTTTGACAGACTTCATCCAGGAGATTCAGTGACTCTGCAGTGTTCGGTCATCAGTGAGATCTGTGCAGGAGAATACAGCGTCTACTGGTTCAGACATTCATCAGGATATTCTCAACCAGGAATCATTTACACTCATAATAACAGAAGTGATCAGTGTATGAAGAGATCAGAGAACGGCTCTTCTACCCAGAGCTGTGTCTACAGTCTCCCTCAGACTGAACTCAGATCATCTGATGCTGGGATGTATTACTGTGCTGTGGCCACATGTGGGAAGATACACTTTGGAAATGGAACTAAGTTGACTATTGAAGGTACAGCAATATTTGATTTACTATAGACTTTAAATTTAGTATCACATTGTCTTTGGTCATATCAAATTGAACGTTTATTGTAGCCCATGTAATCTCACATATTTAACTATTTCAGATTTACAGTTGCTCTGGAATCCATTTACTTTAGTCCTGGCAACACTGACAATCATGGCCATGATTGTGATTATAATTCTGCTTATAGTGATTCAAAAGACCTGCATTAAAGGTATGAGGGCCTCTTTGTCTTTATCAACTCCAGCAATTTGGCTTCAGCATTCAATGTTTTCAACATTTTTATTTTATTCATATTTTTCTAAGAAACCTTGAATCACCCCAGAAATCAATGGAAGCAGGTAATATTGTTTTTATAACCTTTTTCCCACCAAAAAATAAAATAAAATAAAATTCTAAATAAAATGCAATAAGGATAAAGCTGCCTCTATTATAAATAAGGTTAGTAATTAAACAGAGTGTCTAAATTGGGATTACATTTTAGAAATCAAGTTCAAAACAATAATATTTTTTCATAATTAATATTGTGAATTAACAGACAATGTGTAGTAGATTATGAAAAGTTATGTAGCAGAATACAAATTTATGTTTTATGTTTTATTTTAATTTTCCCTCTGTAGTCCGTGGATAATACATTAAGCCAAGAGGAGACACTGGTCATTTACACCCAACTCATAATGCGCTAGTTTACAAGGATGGATGAAATCATTACTATGCATATTGTGGATGTTGATGATTATGTTTGTGAATAAGATTTTTCTAATGATTATAATGTTTGTAATTCGCATACAAATTCATATTTGTATAAATATTATGTCACTGTTTAAGTTCTGTAATATGTTGATTTTTGCAATTGCTAGGATGTATTACTTTATAATGAAAATAAGTTGTTAAATTGTCTTAAATTGTGTGTGTGTGTGTGTGTGTGTGTGTGAATAAGGTGTGCTCCTCGCCTCCTCGGGTCATAGGAGTACTAATTCTGTAAAAATGTAATGGTTTATTTCCTGGAGTAAAAGATCTCTTTTATTTGTTATGGTCTGAGTATTTAAAGCAAACACAAGAATCATTTGGATTATTTTTATTTAACTGGAGAAATAAAACCCAGTTCTGTAGCCAGCACACACTCACACAGAGTGCTGTCTGTCTCTCTATGGTCATCTTTCACTTCTAGATTATTTGAGTATTTGATGGCATTTGTATTGATTGTTTATTAATTAATTTTAAGTGTCCCTTTTATGCTTTTTTGGATATTACCATTTATGTAATGTGGTTTATAGCCGTTTGTGAATGTAAAAGGTCTGCAAAATTTTAAAGATTAAAGTGCACTATAAGTAAGGGATAATCCATGGCTAGTCACGATTCCCCTGATCATGAACTCTTATTTTGATATTCTTGTGTCTTCTATTGCCTGTTTTCAGTTCCTGTGGTTTATTTCCTGTTTTCTTGGTTGTCATAGTTATTCATTGGGTGCTTCTCAATTCTTATTTGTGCATCCTCGTTTCCTTTCATCGCTTCCTTTCCTCGTGTCTCAGCTCCACCCCCTGTAGAATGCGAGGGAACATTGCAAGGAAAAAAATGAGGATGGAGGAATCAATGAAGGTTTTTTTTATACATTGGAATAATTGATCACTTGAGCGTCACTTCATAGCGTCATCAGCTTCGCTCAAAGGATCTGCCCTTATGTTGTATTAGTTTGTTTATTTAATTAAGAAATTCATAATAAATAATAATAAAGCAAGATGTTGAAATATGTGAGATGTGTGGTTTATACACTGAACAAAATCATAAACGCAACACTTTTGTTTTTGCCCCCATTTTTCATGAGCTGAACTCAAAGATCTAAGACTTTTTCTATGTACACAAAGGCCTATTTCTCTCAAATATTGTTCACAAATCTGTCTAAATCTGTGTTAGTGAGCACTTCTCCTTTGCCGAGATAATCCATCCACCTCTCAGTTGTGGCAGTAAAATGTGCAGTTTTACTGTATTGGGGGGTCCGAAAAACAGTCAGTATCTGGTGTGACCACCATTTGCCTCACGCAGTGCAACACATCTCCTTCGCATAGAGTTGATCAGGTTGTTGATTGTGGCCTGTGGAATGTTGGTCCTCTCCTCTTCAATGGCTGTGCGAAGTTGCTGGATATTGGCAGGACCTGGAACACGCTGTCGTATACGTCGATCCAGAGCATCCCAAACATGCTCAGTGGGTGACATGTCCGGTGAGTATTCTGGCCATGCAAGAACTGGGATGTTTTCAGCTTCCAGGAATTGTGTACAGATCCTTGCAACATGGGGCCATGCATTATCATGCTGCAACATGAGGTGATGGTCGTGGAAGAATGACACAACAATGGGCCTCAGGATCTCGTCACGGTATCTCCGTGCATTCAAAATGCCATCAATAAAATGCACCTGTGTTCATTGTCCATATTATACGCCTGCCCATTGTTGTGAATTAATTAGAATAGAAATGTTTAAATAATTATCTTTAATAATACCAGAAACAGTGTTGTCATTTATAAGGTTGTTCAGCTTTAAGAAAAGTTTACCCAAAATGCTTAGGGGGCTGAGCGCGCAGATAGATCTAGAGAGACAGAGAAGAGAGAAAGAAAAAATGACTCCATGTTTGTGCGCTGTATCAATGTGTAATCCTGTTCATTAACTTCAGTAAACAGTTCGTTTTATTTAATTCAAGTCGTCAGTGGTCATTACTGCTTGTTAAGGAAGAAAAGATACAACATTCTTTGGTGCCGAAACCCGGGATAACTTGCAGGCAACATCCGAAATGGCGGAGCGACTTGAAAGACTACTCAGAAAACGGAGAGCTGTACGCGGTTCCACGACGAGACTTTTGCAAGACGTAGAAACAGAGGTTGGCAAAGAAGATCCGATCGTTGACAGATTATGTGAACTGTTAGCCCTGTTATCTGCAAAAGAGGAAACGCTACTGGAGTTGAATCGCGAAATACAGGAGTGTACAGAAATGGATGATTTGGAAAATGAAGTTGTTAATGCGGAGGAGTATGGAGAGCGAGTCGTCAGCGCGAAAGCTCGCGTGCAGCGCGTGACGCAGAGAATCCGGGAAAGCACTAACAGCAGGCCGTGTGACGCAGTGCCATTGCAGCGCGGACAAACAGTTAAGTTACCCAAGTTATTTATCAGCAAGTTCAGCGGTGAAATTAGCTTGTGGCAAGACTTTTGGAATCAGTTTGAAACCGCTATTCACAGAAACGACGCGCTGAGCAAAACAGAGAAGTTCAATTACTTAAAGACATACGTAACCGGCGCTGCTTCAAAGGCAATAGCGGGACTGATGTTGACAGACAGCAATTACGATCACGCGATCGATCTGCTTCAGAACCGGTTCGGAAGAAAGGATCTGCTCATTAATACGCATATGACCAAGTTGTTGAATCTCTGCCCAGTAAAGAAATCACACGATGTGAGTGCTCTGAGACAACTTTATGATGAATGTGAAGTACAGATCCGTAGCTTAGAATCGCTGGGTGTTGCATCAGAGGCATACGGCAGCCTGCTATGCCCTGTTCTGCTACAGATGATTCCAGATGACATTACTCTCCAGTACAGTCGCCAAAGAGGAACCAGTGATGAATGGAAGGTCTCAGAAGTTATGGAATTTCTACAGAAAGAGATTTTGAGCAGAGAAAGAGCCATGCAACTGATTATGCCAAGTAATTCCAAAGACAGCCAGAGCTATCAAAAACCATTTAAAAGACCAGACACATCAATTGAAATGAAGCAGAAAAAGCATCACATGCCGTCAGCTGCAGTACTGCAAACCACCAGTCAAAGAATACAGATATGTCTTTTCTGTGACAGTGCAGCACACAAAACAGAACTGTGTCCAGGAACTGATATTGCTGCTCGAAAAGTAAAATTGATGAAACTGGGACGATGCTTTGTTTGTCTTGGGCCGAAACACATTGCAAGATTCTGTAAGGCCAAGGTGTGCTGTAATGTGTGTGGAGGCAGACATCATAGTGCTGTGTGTGAGAAAGGAGAAACAAACACTTTAGACACTGACAACAAAGATGATGTAGTTTCTTCATTTGCTTCGCATTCTGTTAAGATACAGCCCAATAAACAGAACACTGTGCTTCTTCAGACTGTAAGAGCATGGGCAGAAGGACCTGGTGGACGTAAAAGCATTCGCTGCCTACTGGATGGGGGCAGTCAGAGAAGCTTCATCAGTGAGAACACAGTAAGAGCTTTAAAATTGCCTGTGACAAAGCAAGAAACGTTCACTCTTCATACTTTTGGCTCTGCAGCACCAGTAACATCAAGGCGCAACACAGTGAAGGTCATTCTACAAAGCATCTGGAACAAAGAGCAGAAGGTGGAAGTAGAAGCGCTCGAGACCCCCCAAGTGTGCACTGCTGTGATGAAGATTCCAGGTGAGCACATCCAAGCAGAGTTGAAACGAAAAGGCTTGCAGTTGGCAGACTACCCAGACCCCAGCACTTGTGATACAGAGTTGTCCATGCTGATTGGTGCAGACTATTATTGGCATATAGTGTCAGGCCAAGTGGAAAGAATCACAGATGCACTTGTGGCCATTGAGAGCATTTTTGGATGGTCAGTGCAGGGCCCAGTCACAATGTCCAGTGTTTCCGACACAGCATGCATGCACATACAAATTAATGAAGACACGCTGGTCTCAGAACGTCTGAAAGCCTTCTGGGAAATAGAGTCCCTTGGCATTACCATGCAGCAGACAGACAGCCCTGAAGAAGAGGAGGCTCTTCACATGTTTGAAAAAACTACTCAGTACAAAAACGGGCGATATGAAGTTGAGCTGCCATGGCGACCTGACAAACCAGAACTCCCAGATAACTACAGAATCGCAAGAAAAAGATTTGAAGGACTTAAAAGAAAGTGGCGGTCAGATGTAGTGTTGTATCACAGATATAATGAAGTCGTGAATGAATACCTTAAGCAAGGCATCGTCCAAGACGTGATGGAGGATGGATCAGCTCCAAACACTGTAAAGTATTACATGCCTCATCATGCTGTTCTTCGGGAGGACAAGGTAACAACAAAGCTCAGAGTAGTGTTTGATGCTTCATCACATGACATTGGCTTTCCATCATTGAATGACTGTCTACTTACTGGTCCTAACCTGAATCCAGATCTGCTCAGCATACTAATAAAATTCAGACTGAATGAGATTGCATTTACCGCAGACATCAAGAAGGCCTTCTTGCAGATTTCTCTTGCTGAGAAGGACAGAGATGCAGTGCGGTTCCTCTGGCTCACTGCACCACCCCATGAAGACGCAGGTGAGACGCTGCGTGTGCTACGGATGACGAGAGTGGTGTTTGGAGTGTCCCCCAGCCCATTCCTCCTGCCAGCTACAGTGAGAAAGCATCGGAAGGAATATGAAGACCAACTTCCTGAGGTAGTAAAGATAATAAAAGAATCACTTTATGTTGATGACTTAATCTCAAGTGCAAGTGATGTTGAAAATGCCTTCTCCATAACTACTGGTGCAAGGGAGATTATGTCTGCAGCTGGCATGTACCTTTGCAAGTGGACAACCAACTGTGCTGCATTGAAGGAAAAATGGAAGACGACAATGAGTGAACCTTCAGAGGAGACAGAAACGCATGGATCAGTGCTGAAGGTACTAGGCTTGGTATGGAGAACAAAAACAGATGAATTTGTCTTTGACCTGACTGCACTGGATGCTGTAGCTAAAAGAGAGAATACTAAAAGAAGTGTTCTAAAGCTCTCTGCTCGCATATTCGACCCAATAGGCTTTCTTACCCCATTCACTGTGCGAGTAAAATGCCTCTTCCAAGAGATGTGGATTCGAGGCCTTGGCTGGGACGAGGAGCTGCCCACTGATCTTGCACAAGAATGGAAAGGATGGTGTTCAGAACTTCCACAGATCCACCACATACACATTCCTCGTTGGTATGGAATAAAATCAGTGCACAGACACGACGCACATCAACTCCACGTGTTTTGTGATGCAAGCGAGAAAGCTTATAGTACGGTCGCTTACCTGCTGCGAGTAGCTGAGGATGGAGCAAAGACCACATGCCTTGTTGCTTCTAAGTCCAGGGTAGCCCCTCTGAAGAAGATCTCACTGCCCCGTCTTGAGTTGATGGGAGCAGTGATTGGAGCAAGACTAGGAAACAGTCTGTTAAAGCCTCTGAATCTGGAGCTACATCAAGTTCATATGTGGACGGATTCGATGATTGTGCTGCAGTGGATTCGCAGTCCAGCTCACAAATGGAAACAGTTTGTGTCAAACCGAGTTTCAGAAATCCAGTCTTTAACTAATCCTGCAATGTGGTCTCACTGTAAAGGCAAGTTCAATCCTGCAGACCTTCCCACCAGAGGTCAGACTGCAACTAACCTGAAGGAAAGTGAACTGTGGTGGAAAGGACCTTCATTTCTGACTGCACTGAATCAATTGGAAGAGAGCGATGAAGATCAAAGCGATGAAGATGTGACTAGTGAGCTAAAGCAAGGTCAGCAGGTCATCGTGCAACTCAGTAGCGGCAGTGACGAAAAGGGAATGGAACCTGTGCTGGATTTACTGAAGTACAGTAAGCTGAATCGAGTTCTGCGAGTCACCGCTTGGATCAAGCGGTTTGTGCACAATACAAGTTCAAGCTCCAAAATGCGAGGTGAGTTGACTGCTGATGAAATGTTTGAGGCCGAGAAGTACTGGATAAAGGTGACACAAGATAGCAGCTTTAGTCATGAAATCAATTTGCTGAAAGCTGGTAAGACCCTGAACGCAGATTCAAAAATCAGAGACCTAAAACCTTTCCTTGACGAAGATGAATTGCTCTGTGTTGGAGGCAGACTGCAACAGTCAGACTTAAGTTACAGAGAAAAACATCCATGGATTCTGCCCAACAAAGACAGATATTGTGAGCTGCTGGTTCAGCACAACCATGAATTTATCATGCATTCTGGTCTGAGAGACACACTAGTACAAATTAGAAGTAGATACTGGATTTTGCGAGGCAGACAAATTGTGAAAAGTATTGTGTCAAAATGTACTGTGTGCAAAAGATTTAAAGCAAAGCCCGCACAGCAGGACACGGCTCCATTACCACGAGACAGAATATCAGAGACCCCCCCATTTGAAGTAACTGGCATAGACTTTGCAGGTCCACTGTATGTGAAGAATGATCGTGCATTATGCAAGGCTTATGTTGCTCTGTTCACATGTGCTGTCACTAGAGCAGTGCATTTGGAGCTGGTTTCAAGTCAGTCAACAGAAAGTTTCTTGTTAGCACTCAAGCGATTTGTTTCCAGAAGAGGGCTGTGCAAGGTCATCTATTCAGACAATGCTAAAACCTTTAAGAGAGCAAACCAAGACCTTAGTGAGCTGTGGAAGGCCATCAAAGATCCACAAATTCTGGAATACTTCTCAGGGAAGGGCATCACTTGGCGTTTCATTGTAGAACGAGCAGCCTGGTGGGGTGGATTTTGGGAGAGGCTTGTAAGGTATGTGAAAATGAGCCTGAGGAAGGTGCTAGGAAAAGCATCGCTTACCTTTGAAGAAATGTCTTTGCAGAAATGTCTTTGCCTTGCAGAAGTAGAGGCCACACTGAATTCCAGACCCCTCACCTTTGTACACAATGAGATCGATGAGCCGCAGCCACTAACACCAGCACACTTCTTGGTTGGTGAACGACTCACTTCACTGCCTCCAAAACCATTTCCAGCAGACTATGATCATCCCACTGTGAGTAAAGAGGATATGACAAAGAGGTGGAGATACAGGAACCGACTCATGACCAACCTGTGGAATCGCTGGAGGAAGGACTATCTACTGGACCTGAAATCTGCACATTCCTGCAAAACACAGAAACCTACTGAGTTGAAGATGGGTGACATTGTTCTCATAGGAGATGCCAACATGCCGAGACAAACCTGGAAATTAGGAAAAATTGAAGAGCTGTTTCCAGGCCGAGATGGCAAAGTTAGATCCTGTGCTGTTCGCACATCCACAAGGACTGTGTTAAAGAGACCCGTTCAATTGCTTTATGCATTAGAGATTTAAGTTGATGAACATGTGTTCATGGGGGGAGGATGTTGTGAATTAATTAGAATAGAAATGTTTAAATAATTATCTTTAATAATACCAGAAACAGTGTTGTCATTTATAAGGTTGTTCAGCTTTAAGAAAAGTTTACCCAAAATGCTTAGGGGGCTGAGCGCGCAGATAGATCTAGAGAGACAGAGAAGAGAGAAAGAAAAAATGACTCCATGTTTGTGCGCTGTATCAATGTGTAATCCTGTTCATTAACTTCAGTAAACAGTTCGTTTTATTTAATTCAAGTCGTCAGTGGTCAATACTGCTTGTTAAGGAAGAAAAGATACGACACCCATACCATAACCCCACCGCCACCATTGGCCACTCGATCCTCAATGTTGACATCAGCAAACCGCTCACCCACACGACGCCATACACACTGTCTGCCATCTGCCCTGTACAGTGAAAACCGGGAAACAGTGAAACAGTGAAAACCGGGAAAACCAGAGAACACCTCTCCAAAGTGCCAGACGCCATCGAATGTGAACATTTTCCCACTCAAGTCAGTTACGACGACGAACTGCAGTCAGGTCGAGACCCCGATGAGGACGGCGAGCATGCAGATGAGCTTCCCTGAGACGGTTTCTGACAGTTTGTGCAGAAATTCTTTGGTTATGCAAACTGATTGTTGCAGCAGCTGTCCGGGTGGCTGGTCTCAGATGATCTTGGAGGTGAAGATACTGGATGTGGAGGTTCTGGGCTGGTGTGGTTACACGTGGTCTGCGGTTGTGAGGCCGGTTGGATGTACTGCCAAATTCTCTGAAACGCAAGCTGAGCCCTCGTTGCCGCTGCTATCAGTGGCGTGGATAGAGTTGTTCTCTTGTGGCTTGCGCGCAGTCTTCACTCGGACGCGCTCTTCAATCTTCAATCGCCGTTGTGGAGACTCTCTATACATTCCGGTGAAATCACAAAATAAAATGCACACAAAGTGTCCCTGCTTGATATAGACTGTAACCACTGATGAACATATTCAGTTTTGATGAGAGAAAAAAAACTGTACGAGTGCGGATTAGAACCCGTAACCTCTGACACGCTTGGCAAAAGATCTACCACCAGACCATTTAAGAACTCAAACAACATTTGCGGATCAATGGATTTATTTACGGGTTGAGCAGAGAGGCTGCACAGTTTGACAAGTTTGTACCCAGCACTTCCGAATGCGTCTCTGTCCCCAGCACATTTCAAACCAAACTGACACCCGTGGTAATGCACCGCATTTAACGTTCAGTAACGTTAACGGCGTTGTAACGAAGGGAAAAGTAATTAGTTAGATTACCCCGTTACTGAAAAAATAACGTCGTTACCTAACGCCGTTCTTTTAAACGGTGTTATTCCAAACACTGGCGGTGTGATAAAAACTGCACATTTTAGAGTGGCCTTTTATTGTGGCCAGCCTAAGACACACCTGTGCAATAATCATGCTGTCTAATCAGCATCTTGATATGCCTCACCTGAGAGGTGGATGGATTATCTCGGCAAAGGAGAAGTGCTCACTAACACAGATTTAGACAGATTTGTGAACAATATTTGAGAGGAAAAGGCCTTTTGTGTACATAGAAAAAGTCTTAGATCTTTGAGTTCAGCTCATGAAAAATTGGGGCAAAAACAAAAGTGTTGTGTTTATAATTTTGTTCAGTAAATAAACTGCAAAGGTAAAGTATAAATTAAAATGATTGTGATCGATGTGTGAAGGGGGAGGAGAATTTATAGGTGCTTCACGTTTAGTCAATCTAGCTCTTCCGCTCTCATAACTCCTCAGGAAGCCTCCTCACTTCTCGATCCTCACCTCCTCGTGGTGCAATTAGAGAATTGAGATGGCTGAGCTCGACGGTTTCCGGGTCATATGATGGAGGACGGAGGAGCGAAGAGACGAGGAGGGATATTTTTATTAAACTTTTCTCACCTGTCATTGCCATGGTTTATTTAACCCTCAGTAATCGCCTGATCATGGCCCTGAGTTAATGTTTCGTGCTGGTGTTTATCTGTATTGTTGCTAGTGGTTATTAAATGTGATTTCATCATTTTTCCTGTGGATTATCAAGCCAATCTACGTGTGACACACATCTGTAAAGACAATTTGGTTCTTCCCCTTTCTTTAAATTAACCAGTCAAACATCAGAGTGTCAGTCTTTGATCTTTGAACTAGCTGTGCATAAAAGAGGAAGCAGTCTGAAATGAGACATGCTACCAAATTGACACTTTCATCTACTTAACCAAGACACTTTAGTTCTCTTAAATTCATCCAGTGCAATCTGTGTTGAATATAGTGGATCTATTTTACTTCCGTGAGCCTCAATCATTATTAGAAGACTGTTTTTATCAAATTAACATCTTACAAGTTTGTAAGTAATCCCTTTAAATTTTTACGAACTTTATCAAATTAATAATTGCAAAAAAAGAATTACTTACTATACTATACTAACAAAATTACTAAAAGGTCTTTTATCTACTTACAGCACTTATATTCAGATGTTAGTGGGGTCAGCATGTTACAATAGTTAGTGATCTGATCTTTTAAACAGTTTCATATTCAAACTTTTCTAGATCTGTGTTTATTTCTCTTTTAGAACAAGTCCAGGAGCTACAAAATGAAGTTCTGGGTTTCACTTACCCTCTTTCTCCTCACATTTGCAAGTATGTTAAAATGTATTTTAATTGAGCATTTTGTTTTACTTTTTTTTTTTTACCATATTGCTTGTTTGTTTTATAGATGGGACAAGTGAAGGAGAGGATTTTATTCACCAAATCCCTTTGCTATTTGCCGAACTTGGAAGCAGTGTGATTTTACCCTGCTCTCACTCAGATGACTTTATAAATTATATTTCATGGTATAAACATTCTTTTGGCAAGAAACCACTTCTTGTGGCATATTCAGAACATGGATCAGGAAGCGTTACATATCAAAATGGCTTTGACAAGACAAATCGATACTTTATCAGAATTGGAAGTGGCTCTTTTAATTTGAGCATCATTCACGTGGAGGAATATGATTTTGCAAACTACTATTGTGCTGTGAGTTTCTTGAACATTATTAAATTCGGAGAAGGAACAATTCTGCTACCTAAAGGTGAGTTTATGACAATATTCGACTGCACATAAATGAGTATTGTTTTAATGTATTTACAGAATGTTGCATTTCTTTCAGAAAGGGACAGAATAAGAAGCACCACTGTTCTCCAGGAGCCTGTGTTTGACAGACTTCATCCAGGAGATTCAGTGACTCTGCAGTGTTCGGTCATCAGTGAGATCTGTGCAGGAGAATACAGCGTCTACTGGTTCAGACATTCATCAGGATATTCACAACCAGGAATCATTTACACTCATAATAACAGAAGTGATCAGTGTATGAAGAGATCAGAGAACGGCTCTTCTACCCAGAGCTGTGTCTACAGTCTCCCTCAGACTGAACTCAGATCATCTGATGCTGGGATGTATTACTGTGCTGTGGCCACATGTGGGAAGATACACTTTGGAAATGGAACTAAGTTGACTATTGAAGGTACAGCAATATTTGATTTCGATATATGCAAGTTGCATAATGCAACAAGTTACTCAATGCAACATAGTACTACCTTCAGTCAGCCAATTATTATTAATAATTGTTAATATTTCTTTGTATTTATGTTGGTACATGAACTCCTAAATCTATGTTACCATTTCAGCATCTTCGACTTTGACCTTTTGGAATCCAGTAGTTTTAACCTTGTTGACAATAAGCATAATATCAATAATTGTAAACATAATTCTGGTGAGACTGATTCAAAAGAAGCTCAAAAAAGGTAAATATATATAAATAATCACATGGCAAAATGAAATAATAAAGTACAAATATTCATCTCTAAATTGCTATTTTTTAAATTCTGATCAGTGATTAACAATGTATATTTCATTATTATCCAAATAAGCTTCAAAACAAGCAAGAAATCAAAGGAATCAGGTAATCTATTTTAATTTGCCCTGTAATTTATGATTGAATGATTTATAATTACAAATTGCATAAACCCGGCCTCTGTGCCTGTACACATTGCCACACTGATGACATTTGGCATTTGACTTCAGAAAAATACTCATATGGATCAAGCTCTAGCAACTAGATTAAAGCTGGTTTTCCCAAAGTTTTGTTTTGAACTATTTCCTACACATTTCTCAAGTAAATCAACAGTATGTTTGGGGTCAGTATTTTTTTTAAATCTCTTATTTAGTCTATTATACTCACCAAGGCTGCATTTATTTGATCAAAAATACAATAGTACTGTAATATTATGAAATATTGTTACAATTTAAAATACCTTTTTTATTGTAATATTTTTTTTAATGTAATTTATTCCAGTGTTGGCAAGACTGAATTTTCAGCAGCCATTACCCCAGTCTTCAGAGGCACACGATCACACTATAGGCTATTTGAAATAGATTTTTTTTTTTTTTTTTTTTTTTTGCAACATTCTCAATCTTTACTGTTTTCTGTGATGTAGACTGATCGTGTTTGTATTTTTCCTGTGCAGGTTGAGGAAACCGATGCCTTAAATTATGTAGCCCTGAGTTTTTCCAAAAAGCCTTCCACCTCAAAAAGATCTGCAGTGAAAACCAGCCAAAATGAAACTGTTTATTCACATATCACAACCCACAGTTAAGATAATTGCAAATGCTTAGCTATAAGGTATGTTGTTGTTACATAGTTTTTATTGTTAGGTTTGCCAGTTTGGAAATAATCTGACTTTTTAAAATATATATATAATTTTGATTTCTGTTCACTCTAAATATATTTTAGGCTACCTGTAAATATCAACAGGTCAATAAAAATACTGGCGGGAACTTTTTTTTCTCTGTCTCCATTCCCTTTTGTCTCTGGTTGCTGGTGCACCCTAACATTTTCTGTCCATCATTTGGGGAAAAACGGTTGTGTCATTAGATTATCCACATTATACATGAGTGAGAACAGACTTCGGTTGATTTCCCAACATTCCTGCACTAGCTGATACACAAGAACGATAAACTGCGAAGACTTCAAAAACGTGATTCTCACGCGGAACACGGGTAAATTCATTATCGCTTGTTGCGATTGTTAAACGTGTTTCTTGACAAGTGCTTCAAACATGAACTAGCAGAGTCCAAACATCCAAACGAATCTTTTAAAATATTCATGCAAAAAGCATAGGCTACAGTATGAACGCGAAGAGACAGTGGATTATGCGAATAAAGAAGTCAATGATAAACCCCGAAAATGGGCAGAAAGGTAGGTAAATATGCCTTTATTCTCCCTGCTTAATTCTGTTAAACCGATGGGTCATTAAGTGGTCAGAGTAGTGCTTATAAAAGTGATGAACATAAAAATGATATGCGCTTTGTGGAGTAGACCTACTCAGGTTTTCTAATTGCATGGCGAATTCAGCTTGTATTATGTATAATTATAGAACATGTGTTTGGGTTTGTTGTGGGGTGTTTCGATTGTGAACGAATCAGTGTTGTGAATGAATATTTAAATGAACCAGTGAACTTTGAAGCGCTGACGTATACGAGCCTACCATTCACGGAAGTCTCTCCTTATTGGATGAGCCAAATAACTTTTAAAAATGTCAGAAATAATACTTTGTTCTTTAGAATTTGCATAATGTTTCATTCTGTTGACAATTTAGTTGTGGGACACTCACAGAGTTCATTTTTATGTAAACTAGGTCATATTTGCAAATTTATTTTAAAACTGCTGTTAGTGCAGAAGTATGTGACTCTAAGTTTCTAATGTTCAGGAGCCACAGCTAAAGAAGGGGGATGTGTTACTGTTGGACTGTTTTGACCCTAAAGTGTTACCGTACTAAGAGTGAGTCTCGCGGGATGGACTGGGTTAATGCGAATGTACAGCAGGAACTCAATGCACGTAGACGCTCTCTGTTACTGTGGACTTTAATAAAGAAGAATCAAACTTTCATTCTTATACATTATTGACTAAACAACATAACTATTACTAATGAATTAGTGACTCAGGCAGACTTTCATATCATTTCAAATCCTTTAATCATCAAAAGACTATTTAATTTTCATTTACATTTACATTAAATTTGTCCAAAGCGACTTACAAATGAGAACAATAGAAGCAGTTAAACTAACAGTAGGACAACAATATGTAAGTGCTATAACCCCTCTCAGTTTAATTTTAGTGCAGTTTTTTTATTTTTTTTATTTTTTTTTATATAGAATAGAAGAGAAGAGAAAGTATTAATTCTACTGAATCAAGTGCTGCCGAAAAAGATATGTCTTCAGCAGTTTCTTGAAAGTGGCTACTGACTCAGAAGCTCTGGTTGAGTTAGGCAGATCATTCCACCAACAGGGAACAGTCATGGTAAAGGTCCGAGAAAGAGATGTTGTGCCTCTTTGAGATGGTACCACAAGACGACAATTTTCATTATACATTTAAACATATTTGTAAAAATTCACAAGAATATTCTTAAAGCAATATGTCAGCAACATAAATATTTTAATAAAAAAAATACTCATCAAAATTATTGCTATAAAAACTATTGAAGCAACTAATAATAATCTGTGAATAATAAGTATGATCTGTGAATAAACAGTCTCTTCTTGCCAGGTTTTCAATATAGTTCATTTGAGCTCATTGGTCTTTTAGAAAACCTTAAAGCTTCATAGTGTGTTTTCAGTCTACAAAATACAGCTCTGGAGCCGTTCTCTGATCTCTTCACGCATTGTTCAATCACATTGAGTGTAAATGATTCCTAATTGAGAATATCCTGATGAATGTCTGATCCAGTAGACGCTGTATAGTCTTGCAGACCTCACCAAGACAGTATAGAACCTGTTAAATACTGTGATGAACAGGAAAGTTGATTCATCCCAGTGAGTCGATTCTTTTGAATCAATTCACCAAAAAAGATCCGTTCAGATTCGCACTATAGTTAGTATTGATGACATGACATGACTTCTTTGTCACTAAGCTAGGGAAAACCACATCCCGGAAATCCCAAGATCGGGCAAAGTCGTGGAAGGCCTGGCTAGTATACTGAGTACCATTGTCTGAATTTCTGTGGTATGCTGTGGACTGAGAAGTGAGGCTTTAGCTTATTGATGACTGTCAGTGAAGACAGGTTGCTGAGTCGGTCAATTTCAAACCACCCAGAGTATGAATCAACAACCACCAGGTAATGGTGATTCTTCCATTCAAATATGTCTGTGGCTTCAAGCGACCAGGGCAGGTCCGGGACTGTGTGCAGTTTTAGCGGCTCTTTTTGCTTGTGGGGCCCCAGGCTGTTACAGATGCTGCATGCCATTATGACCACCTGAATGTCCTCATTTATTGATGGCCAGAAAACACTTTCCCCTGCCCTTTTGTTAGTGGATTCAACTCCTGGGTGTCCCTTCAGATATTCAGAGTGCAGGGCAGTGGGCATGACTGCCCTGTTTCCTTTCATGATGACCCTGTCTTTGATGGTGAGTTCATCACGGAAACTGAACAATGGTCTCACCTCTGTAGGTACGCTGCACGGACGTCTTGGCCAGCCCCGTTGAATGAAATAGGTGAGTTTCTGCAGCACTGTGTCTGCAGCAGTGTATTGACGGAGCTCTTCAAGGCGCCGTGGAGATATTAGTTGAACTGTCATCACCTCAAACTCTGGCCGTTCTGACCTCTGGGGGCTGACGTTGCATCTTGGTGCACGGGAAAAGGTGTCGGCTAAGTAGAGGTGCTTTCCTTTTTTATAGGTGAGAGTCAGGTCGAATTTTTGCAACTGTAGTAGGGCCCTATGAAATCCGTTTTATTTTTTCCCAAATTCCGTTTTATTTTTTCCCAAATTCCGTTTTTTCCGTTTTAATTTTTGGGAATTCCTTTTTTTTTTACCCTTTACTGTTATTTTAGTCTTAAAAAGAGTGTGCTTTTAAAGTTAATGATTAAAATGTATACAAATCAAATAGGAATTCATGACCTTAAATTACAGACATTTACTCAGTAGCCTTTTCAGGACAAATACTGCATGATGCAACATGACACATGCACTCTTCAAGTAACAACAAAATATGGTTATGAGCTTTAAACTGTCCAGTAAAATAAATTATATTAGTTTAAAGTTTAAATAAGTCACACTCTGTCTCTCTGTCGCTCACGGAGTTCGCTTCGCTTTTGTCCAGTCCGGCGCCTCATAGACAGACGCGGTGTGTTTGTGTGTGTGTGTGCGTGCGTGCATGTGAGAGAGACGCGTGAGAGACGGAGGGAGAGCGGGGAAAGAAAATACAACGGAAAGAATACGCTGCGTGTTTTAAATAGCGTTAAAAAATGAACGAAACGCAATATGTGGCGGCCGGAGTTGATTTTGTGGCCGCGAATTAGTCTATGTGCGGGAGACACTGCATAAAAGTCACGTGCGAACTGCTCGGCTCGGTACTGAGGGCTTATAGCGTCGAGTTTCTTAACTTTTTCGCCGAGGAAAGCAGAGCCGTGGAGAGCCGCTTCGCCATGCTTTCATTTTTTTGATGCCGTCATTTGAGCTGAAATGACGGGAGGGGTTGTGTCGCCCAGATTTGCTTCCCCCGGTCTGCATTTTCACCAGACATACGTTCTTCTCCCACACAAAAACAGAATTTCAATCCATATATGTAAAATTCCACGAAATTCCGCGTTAACACTAGATTCCGCGTTTATTAGCCAATTCCGTAATTCCGTCCGCGATTCCGTGATCTCGGAAATCATAGGGCCCTACTGTATAGGGGTGTAACGATATTTGAACCGAACCGAAAAACCGCGAGACACCACCCACGATACGTATCGCGATACTCTCATGGCGAACCGAACACGCCCCGCCCCCTGCGGCCCCGCCCAGCCCCGGCTTATTGCACCTCATGTGTTATGTGTACACAACGAATACAGGGCTGTTGCCTAACCACCATTAACCACATATAATCGCAATAAGCTCAGTGTTTTGTTACTTTTGATAATAAGCAAGGTGTAATCTTTCAAATTATGTCTATTTGATCACGAAATGCAAACAATAAATGCCGTTTTGGCGCTCTTAGATGTGGCGTGACAGATATCACTGTATGCATGCGGCAGCGCGGAGCGCGATCATCTCTTCCTCAGTTACAGAATAAACATGAATGGACACCCGAAGGTATGTTGAAAGATACAGTAAGGCATCATAACTCGTGTAAACACTCAATCAGTGTTTCAACAGCGGAAATACGTCAATAAAACGCTTCGTTTTTCACATAGCTTTATATTTACCTCAGGCAAGTCATTCAGTGTCCACAGCTTGCAGGTTTGCTAACTCTTTCACTAAATAAATGCTATATATTAGCCTATATATTATATTTTACTTAACCTGTTTATGATATCTTGATTATTTAATGTATGTTTAAAATAGTTGTCATGAAAATAACAGCAACTGTGTTATTATATAACAATAACAAATTAGAGTAAAAACATGTTAATGCAAAAATGGCCTTATGTGCAGTTTACATGTTTTCATACAATTTGTTATTTGAGTGTTGATTATTATTATATCATTTAGGCTAAAAGTCTAGGCTGTTAAGCTTTAATGTTATAGTAATGTGCAAGTAAGGGCTGTAGTTTACAGCATTAGCAGATAATTTTGTTATCCTTGAGAAACGTTTACTTGTAATTGAATTAATTTAA